CTAGCCTTGATGAAGTTCTAAATCATTTACGCGTGTTTTTTTTTTTTTTAGAGGAAGACTTATTTTCCGATCGTGCAATCTCTTTCTCTCAGACGCAAATGTCACAAACTTGTCGCTATTTCCATAGCAAATGTTTATATAAGCGCTCCATTTTTTAGTTCCACCAATTCATTTTTTTGATCGGTATCACCCCATACAAGGCAGTAAAGCCACTAAGACACAAGAGGTTACTGGCTGCAGAAGAATTAGAAACAGAAACAGTGATAATGAGCGGGAAGAGAAAAGAGTAATCAGGAGGACAGTAGGCAGCAATTGACATTGCATTTAATTTTTTGCAGATTAAAGTTGACTGGAAAGCACGAAGTCTGAAGAGAGTTACACAAGCGAGAAGTGCGAGAAAAGAAACTATTAGCATAGAGATTACGGCCACATCTATTCAGCTCTTGACACCAATCTAGTACTGCGCCTAAATTAAAAAAAATGGAAGCACCATAGCGAAGAGCGATATTTATTTGTAAAATATTACAAAATGTGACACAAGGCCAAAATGGGGAAATGGGAAAATGACAGTCTTCTTCCGTCATAAATTTTAACTTAGCTAATCACAATCACTGACCCAAACACACCACAATATTCTTAACACCAAAGCAACGCATTGTTACTTACCATTCTTTCTACACCCCCCCCCCATAATACCTCATTGTCTCTATGAAAGTCCTAACAAGTTTCCTATGTAAAATTCATTGTTCTGGAGTGGGGAGGGAATAGTGAAGAGCTCACTCGAACAATTACCATGAAAAGTATTTATAAAAAAGACATAGAGAGACAATTTTACGTGCGTGAGAAAGTGACTGAAGTCGAGTCGCCAGATCAGGACCGATAATATTGCTGATTCTTTTTTTGGATTTTATCAAGGAGCTCAAGGTAAATGGCAAGGTCACCGGATCATATATGACAGCAATATTCTAAATTTATACATTCATATATTTAACAACTAAGACACGCCATACTAATTTTACGAGATCGAATGAGACGCCGTATTCCAATTGTATAGAGAAATCTTTTACACGAGAACGGTTATGTTGAATCATAATTGTAATTGTGTAACGATTTTTAACATATTTTTGTTTTAATATACTGAAATAAATAATATATAGCTCCAATCTGTATTGAGCATACTTTTAAATTAAATGTTACGGAGAGAAGAATTATGCTCCATTTGTCCCCATTTTACCTGTATATATACATATAAAATGTCCTAAAAAAAAGAATGTGTTTGTTATTTTCATTTTCATATATATATATATATATATATATATATATATATATATATATATATATATATATATATATATATATATATAAAGGTTAATGTTAATCAGATTAGAAACAGAAGTATTGAAAAGTGCTCAATACACGTGTGAAAAAAAATAAAATAAAGTAAAAATAACATGTAGAGGTTTTAACTTTAAAAATCAGGATGTCAGTTGATCAATTGACCTGATTTTTTTTTAATATATATATATATATATATATATATATATATATATATATATATATATATATAATATCTTATTGGAATTGAGGTTTTATAACACTATTGGACTTTACTTTGAGCAATAAGAATATATAATTACTCTCCAAGTTTAACAGAAAAATCGTGATGAAATCAATCATAAACGAAAATGGCATGTTAATTATTAATTCGTCATAGCTGAGCATCGGAAGCTTGTGAAGGATTGAAATAAAGTTCATATATATATATATATATATATATATTATTCCAGGATCATTTTCGAACTTATTGAAGATAATGTTCACCCTCTCTAACTTTTTAACATTCTGTCCTGGAGTAACAAGGTACCTCGCACGTTTCACGTATGATTTCATTTTCAAGTCTTTTTTCCAGGCTCTTTGGACTGTCATAGGTGAAACTAATCACTCACCTGCCAGAGTTGGATTTTTCTAATTGTTCTCTTTAGCTTTAAGCTGAAATGATGATCCCATCCCTCTTCCTGTTGTGACCATCAGGTCCAGATTTTCTTTTTACTGTTCTCTCTTTCTAACCTTATTCACCGCTCTCTTGATGGTTCTTGAATGGACTTTAAAGATGGAAGCCAGGGTATGAATTTTGGTACCATTACTGAAAGCATGAATGATTTTTCCTCTCACCATTGCACAGTTAAGAAGACAGTGGGGCTTACATAAAGCGTTTTTAACTTGATCTTTTTATAGCTGAATAATTCAAAGGGGTTTTCAGTGATTCTTACGACAAATGGTGTCAAGATGGCTGAATGACTTATCTGAAAACCTGGAAAAAACGAAACTCAGTTACTTTTGTGGTCTTTTAGATATTAAACATTTTGTAAGATGAGCTTTACGCTGTAACACGATTTTTGACAATTTTGCCGTTACACCCAGTATACATATATATATATATATATATATATATATATATATATATATATATATATATATATATATGTGTGTGTGTGTGTGTGTGTGTGTGTGTGTGTGTGCATTAATTTCAGATGTATAAGGATAATATCGAAGACATAATATCAAAAGAAAAGCATGATAGCGTCACATTAGAATTTGAAAGAACAATGAAAACAAGTAAATTTAAAACTGGTTTCGTGAGAAACACTAAAAGAAATCAAAGAACAGTTAAAACGAGGTTAACTGGCAAGAAAAATACATTGGCAACAAGAAAATATTTGAAGAAACCAGTGTCGCGAATGTGGAACCTTAAAAATATTGGCAAAGGACATGAAAGTAACCAAACTACTGCCTTTTCAGTAAACATCTGAAAACATCTCGGACGTCGTTTTTAATGCTGAATATACATCGAGGGAAAGTGATGGCTGGACTAGAAAGAGACGAGCCGTCATTTAAACAATCAACCAACCAACTATATAAGTTCCTTGAACGATGATTGTTTTTAACGTATTGTTAACCCCAATACAAGTTCCAAGAACCACTCAAGGTAGAGGGTTTCTGAATGTGGTTGTTGTATAAACGTAAGAAGTGCAGATTATGAGAACATGTAGGAACGATAACCCAAGACTAGAAGAGGTTAAGATTGTTGTGATTGGGGAAGCATCCTCTTAGGAGTCGGTTCGACAAAGGAGTGGTTTAGTGGGAAGAAGATGTTCGAACGGAACTTTCTTTTTTACTAATGGCATACAAAGTGAATGAAAATTATTCGTCTCAGTGTACATAATATGGCGGACTTGGAAAGTATGAACTGGTGGCAATAATGTTCACCGGGATAGATTGTTCTAGTTCTACGCCTCTTCCGGATGTCTCAGTATCAGTTATCTCCCCTTTAATTCAACTCTCCAAGTTTTTGGTTCACCTCAGCTGTATTGAACTCACAACTCTTTGGATCAAGTCACTTGATTCAACCAACGCTTTTATCCAGTGGGCCACGTATCCTTGGGAACCTTTCGCAGGTTATTTAAAGCCAGAAAATATTTTTAGATTTTAAGAATTTTTTTTAGATAATTATCAGCTCGTTAGAACAAATATGAGAAAAAGCAATAGAGTAGAGAGAGATTGTGGGGTTGCATCTGTGGGGAAGGTGTTGTAGAATGGAAGATAATTCATTATCCTCCCCCACAGGCATTCTATTAAAATAATTTTTCCAGTACGATGTGGAGGGGGGCATTTTATTAAATTGGTTTCTTCGAAACTTTGCTAGAAAAATTGAGAATAGTCAACTTTTCAAAATGCGAAGTTTTTATGACTTTTACAGCCCAGATCAGTCATGCCACATTCAAAAGAGTGAATCATCCCCATTCCCTTTGTATTCCATTAGTAAGGAAGAAATTCCACTAGGGCAGCTTCTTCACAAGAACAACTACTCTGTGCAACTGACTCCCGAGTTGATGCTTCCCTGATCATTACAATTTTAACGTCATCAAATCTAGCTTCAATCGTTATCTAGTTTCAACTACATTTTTTCAGTAACCATCTACTTTGAGTGGCTCTTGGGTTTTATATTGGGTGAACAATAAACAAAAGAAGACAACTTCTTGTCTCTCGGTTAAAGAAATTTCTTTCAGAATGCAAAGCAATATTCAAACAAAATATACTTTGTGGGTGCATAAAAATGGCGGCAAGTAATGTTCATATATTTACAAGTTCCTTCGCCTTTATTTAACACATGTACCCAATAACATATTATTATATACCCACATAAGTATATATGTAAATATATGCGTCTGTAAGCACATGCAGGTGAAAATATTGTAGAGGAAAAATAGTCAAAGGAGACACTGACTGATTTGCTTTTTACGGCTTATCAACTTTCCGCAGTTATTTCCACTATTTACATAGTTCGGACTGTTGTCCTTAACTACATTGCCATATTCACGAGGTTTCAGCCGTTGTACGCTCCAGCCTTCTTCCGGTGATTGGAATTTCTAACTGAACCCTTTATTTTGCCCACTGGAGTAGATTGCTCTAGTTCCACGTGCCATGCCTCTTCCTTTAACTCAACACTCCAAGTTTTTTGTTCACCTCAACTGTAGCTAGGTACTGAACTCACAACTATTTTGGTCAATTCACTGGATTCAACGAACGCTGTTATCCACTGGACCATGAGAACATTTTGCATGTTATTTAAAGCCAGAAAATATTTTTAGATTTTAAGAATTTTTTTTTTTTTTTTTTTTGGAGATAATAATGATTTATTGATACAAGTCCTACTAATTCACTCAAAGCTGGGGAGGAAAAGAAGTGGATGTATACATTTTTAATGGTATTGCGCGTAAATAATTATAACGAACCGACTCGAGTTAGAACTCAGTTCACCGAATTCCATTTACATTGCCCACACATCCAAGTTTTCAGCATCTGGTATTTCCAAGCAGTCACCCATCTAGGTACTATGATATGGCCATAATCCTAACAAGGTCAATAGATGAAGAGAGATGAATGTTAAAGTGTCAAATAAGCAATAACATAAAATAATAACATAATAATTTATTTAGGACTCATATCACGTTGTAAAACCGATTCCCAGACGATCATTAAAGTTAAGCGACGTCGAGCCTGATCAGTACCTAGATGTATGACCGCTTGGGAATACCTGGTGTTGTAAGTTTGGATGTGCGGGTGGTGTAATGGATAATTGCACAGAATTGTTAATCGGAGAGCCGATTTCCAATTCCCGTTGGGTTCGTTATATTCATTTACGCGCAAATAACCTTGGAAAAGTTATGAATTCACATCGTCTTCCAAAGCTCACCCCGCCACTAGCGATGAGTTAATTAGTAAAACTTGTATCAATAAATTATTATTTTCCCAAAAACGTTCTAAGAAACTAAAAATATTTTCTGGCTTTAAATATTGACAAAGTGGAAAATGGATATTTTTATTATTATTATTACAATGTGGCATATTTCATAACTAAAGTTATGTAAACATGAGCAAAAAGAAAGATATTCTAAATAAAATCGGCTAGCCAAAACACATTAACAAGAAATAAATTATCTTTCAATCTAAGATTCTCAGCGGTTCAATTTCCTTCGTGCGCATGCGTAGTCGCATCAACGTAAGTATAAACTTCGTCCGATGAAGTCCTAAAGGATGAAACACGTCGTATGAAAATTTTTTCCACTTTGTCATACTTTCCTGTTAAACAGTTCTTGATATATATATATATATATATATATATATATATATATATATATATATTATGAAATGGACAAATTTTTAAGACATTTTTATTTTTTACATTCTTTTTTATGTTTATACATTCTTTTTTTATAGATACAAAAATATTTAACGAAACCCAAATGCTCTGTTTATAAACCCGGCTCGGCAGCTATTAAACAACATTTACCGGCCTGGAATGTCACCCACAGGAAGAAATTTTCATAGAAAATATTCGTCATCCGAACAGGACCCTTCGAACCTGTACCCTATACGGAATTCTTTTATATAGATGGTATTTATCAATTCACCCACAGGAATTGTGTGGCACAAGGCCTTTTTAATTGGGTAACCGATTGGGCTGGTTCTGTCAACCTCCCCGAACGAAACCCCAATCGGTTAAAGGCACGGTCAGCAGCAAAGCACAGATAAAATTTTCAGACACACTGGGTTGTATATTAAAATTATTTTGTTTTGTTATTTCAATTAGGTACATTATTTCAATTAGGTTTATGGCCCAATCCATCAGGCTATAAAATTTTCAGACACAGAGGAAAAAATATTTTGTTTTGTTAGTAGCAGTGAACTACAGGAATGAATGACTTTCTGAAGAAAATGAAGTTTATCTGTAGTTTGAATTAGTTTTTTATTGTCAATTTTGGTCAGTCCTTGTTTTGGTCAAACGGCCTTTTGGTCAATTTTGATCAATCCTTGTTTTGGTCAAACGGCCTTTTGGTCAATTTTGGTCAGTCCTTGTTTTGGTCAAAGTTGTTTTTAAGAAAGAGGCTTGGGTGATTCATGAAGTCACAGAATTCCCTCCTTGGCCATTTTGACAGTTTTACTGGTTGCTGGGAAGGATATATATATATATATATATATATATATATATATATATATATATATATATATATATGTGTGTGTGTGTGTGTGTGTGTGTGTGTGTGTTTCATTTCATTAAAGACGACAGACAAGATACTATGATTAAGATTTTTATTTATTTTTCATGTCTTCGAACAAGTGTTTCCTTTCCTGGACACAGAGTGTGTAGAAACTGTCCGAATATTCTAGAATTCCGAACGGTTTTGACTATACTTTTACTGATTATCAAGGACGATTTTATTTTTTGCTTTATATTTATATATATATATATATATATATATATATATATATATTTTTTTTTTTTTTAGCTTCTCGTAATCATAGAACATTTGGACAGTTTCTACTTTTTAATGAAACATATATAAATGAAGGTCTGCTGTTTAAATATATATATATATATATATATATATATATGTGTGTGTGTGTGTGTGGGTGTGTGTGTGTGTGTATGTGTGTGTATAAGGTATCGCACATTGAGTGCTGATGTTAATAAAATAGTGCTCGATGTAATACAATTTTTTTAAAATATAAATCTCGTCTATTTTAAATACAATTTTTAAAGCCCAATAATCGCTGCATAATATATATACTGCCCCAGCATTGCGTTAACTAGATATTTTTATTAAAATTTAAATTATGCAATGGTCAGTCTCTATTCAGCACCTGAAGATTGCGTTGTGCATGAAACTCCGAGTCGTGCTACCGCGAGGAAATAAATGTATATTTATTAATATATAGAGAGATAATAAAGTTTACACATTGAGAGGCAATGTTTGGAGGTTTTCTGTTAATTCACCCCAAAATATTAATTCAAAACAAAAACAAAAATAATTTATATTTACTAATGTTCACAGAGCGAGGCCCTTCCATTGCACCGGCTGGGTTGGCCTGTGCGATCGCCCCAAATATGAGTGATTGAGTGCGCTATTTCTAATTGTTGGGGTCTACGTTCGCGCTCACTCCGATAAACAAGTCAGTTTTCTTGTTTGTTTTTTTAAATTGTAAAATATTCCTTGTAAATACCTGGAATATCATTCGCACTTATGAAATGTAAATAACTCCCCGATTTTTGGTAATTTTTTTCATTTTTAGAATTGGAGTTGTCACGAGGCAAGCTTTTTTCTTTTTTTTTTTTTTTTTCTTTTTTTAAGCATTACGCCCGAGCAAGGCGTGAAGCCACTAGGATGCAGGGGGTTGCAGAAGATTTGGAGCGAGAGCAGATAGGAGAGATAGAAGAAAGGATGAGGAGAAGGATAGTGGGTAGATCAAGGTAACTGGAGGTGTCGATTGACATTACATTTGAATAGTTGGAGATTATAGCTCTCAGGGAAACAGTAATTGGGAAGGGTGTTCCACAGGCGAGAGGTGCGTGGTATGAAGCTATTGGAGTAGAAGAGACGGCTACATTTAAAAGTTTCTACAGTGTAAGGGTGGGAGCGGGATGCCAGCCTCGTAGGGCGCTTGAATTCATGGAGTCTGGGAACCAGTGAAAGCAGCTCCTCGGAGCAATTACCATGGAAGTATTTGTAGAAAAGACAGAGAGAGAGGCGACGGCGCGTCTGTGAGAGAGTGACTGTAGACGAGACGCCAGATCAGGGCCAGTTATATTACATATCCGTCTCTGGATCTTGTCAAGAACTCCGAGCTAAACAGAAGGTGCCCCAGACCATATATGGCAGCAATACTCCATGCAAGGGCGAATGGTTGATTTGTATATTTGAAGTATCGATTCCAGGGAGAAAAATTTCCTGGCCCGGCACAGAGAGCCAACTTTCCTCGCGGTGGAAGAAGCAATTGACTCAATGTATTTGTTCCATCTCAGGTCAGCAGTCAACGTGAGACCGAGCAGACGCAGGGAGTTGCTCTCAAAAAGTTGACTATCAGACATTCTAATGGGGAGCAGGGAAGGATCTCTATGGTGATTAATAGAGAGTAGTTTAGTTTTTGAGGCGACCAGCCAATTCTTGCCCCAATTAACAACCGATTGGAGGTCCATTTCAAGACGCACGGCCAAAAAAAATTTTGATTTAAAATTTATAATTTCAAAAGAGTGACAAAAATTTAATAAAAAACAAACTTTGATTCGAAATTTATAATTTCTTGGGGTGAATTAATATTTGCGATAAGTAACTTTACATTATTTGGGGTGAACTAAGAGAAAAGTCCCCACTTGGTCTAAAGAGGAACAAACAAATGAGAGAAAGAGAGAAGCACAAATGAGAAGACATTGTTTGAATAGGTATACTGATGTGGCGCCCAACATAAAATCTGCGCTAGGGCCAATTGATTTACGTATGTAGAGGTATATTTAAAAGCTTGCGATAAAGCAAACGTTAAAAGCCAATGACAAAGGTGGACACAATTGGTTATCTTAAAAATAGAAAAGAAAAAGTAACCTGATTGACATAAAGTGTACATTGACCTACATCAACATTTACAGAGTAAGGTGGGGGTTTCGCATATAATTATTGAGTGGATTTCGATCTGAGTAAACACTAAAAGCTAACAAACTGAGGCCAAACTTTGGGGCGTAGGCATTTTCTGCTGTATGTGTAAATTTATTTTTTTTCTTTTCAAATATAGTGAAAATTTTTTTTTTTTTCAGGAATGTTATATTTATGGGTAAAAACAGAGATAATGTCAGGGATGGAGCGGCTGTAACTATAGCAGTATGTTTAAATGCATTCAAGCGTGTAACAGGGTGTCGCTGTGTCCACTTTCATACATATACTCCTCACATAAGCATTTATTTCTTCTTTCTTTCCTTTATTTTCTTCCACTCTCTCTCTCCCTCCCTCTCTCACTCAATTCCTTCTCTCTCTCTCTTTATTTCTTCCCTTAATTTTTAAAAAAGATTTTATATTTGAAATCTTTTTCCATTAATTCTTATGATTAATTTTTTCCTTTTTTTCCCCCTTTTTTCTATCTGTCTGGATGGAATGAATAAATATGTTCATGAGATTATTTGTAACCCAGAGGGATTTTTAATGTTTTTCTTGATTTTTATATATATATATATATATATATATATAGGATTCAAGATTTAAGAAACAGATATTTTTATAAATAGTGCTCAATATTAAAAATATTAAAACAGTACAAAAAATAGGACGTTAATAATATTATATGAAAATATTACTTATCTTTTAAATGTCAATTTTATCCCGACTTCGACGTTTCTTGGTAAATTTTCCAGTCTTCGGAAAAAAAAGGAAGATACCGTTTAAAAGAACCACCCATGATGACGGAAAATTTTACCAAGAAACATCGAAGTCGGGATAAAATTGATTTTTAAAAGTTACGTAATCTTTTCGTATAATATTTTTATATATATATATATATATATATATATATATATATATGTGTGTGTGTGTGTGTGTGTGTGTGTGTGTGTGTATATGTATGTATGTATCTCTACCTCCACTTAAAATCAGGCCAAATATATTATGGAAACTACATTTAACTTGTACGACTGAAGTTCCATCTACGATCACAAAAATAATATATATGTACAAGGGGACGGTGTTTCCATGGGTTAAGTTCTGTGTTCAACTTTTAGTAATTTCT